TGTGTGTATATATACACGTGTGTGTGTATATGTGTGTATATATACACGTGTGTGTATATGTGTATATATACACGTGTGTGTGTATATATGTGTGTATATATATACACATGTGTGTGTATATATGTGTGTATATATATACACATGTGTGTGTATATATATGTGTGTATATATATACACGTGTGTGTGTGTATATATGTGTGTGTGTATATATATACACGTGTGTGTGTGTGTGTGTATGTATATATATATATCTTGAGGATCTGGGTGGACTATATCCATTTTCCCTACTAGAGAAATGCTCTGTGAGGGCGACAGCCTATGTCTGGTTTTACGATGGATCAAACCACTGGACCCATTGTGCCAGCACAGAGGCCCTTCATTGACATTTGCAGAAGGATAAATGATTGCACGAATTAATACTAAGAAGTCTGACCTCCGTGGGGTAGCGGGGTGACACCTAGAAGACACTCAGTCCTGCCCAGACCCCCTGATTCTGAATCCGCAGGGGGGATGACTGGCATGTGTGGACATACCGGTGACCCCATCCTTGCTTTCTGCTCTCCATCCCAGGGTGGATTCCGGAACACCAACGAGAAAGACATGGCCCTCACGGCCTTTGTTCTCATCTCGCTGCAAGAGGCTAAAGAGATTTGTGAGGAGCAGGTCAACGTAAGTGCCCCCCGTCTTCCCACCCTACCCTACCTTACCCTATGTAGAGCACAGCCACCTTGGAGAATGAGAGGTTGCCTTCGGGGAATTTGCAGCTCTCCCAGTGCAATAACAGGCATCACTGCAGTCATGTTAATATCTAACATGTATTGAGCGCTTAACTCATCTAATACAGACCCCCTCTAATAGTTTCACATGTTAAGTCTCATAATCCTTTTAGCAGCCTGAAAGGTAGGTTACTCTTATTATCCCCAGTTTGCAGATGAGAGAACTGAGGCACAAAGAGATCAAAGGTGGGGATTCTTTCTGTCTGCTTTAGCATTTTCAGAGGGTTTTCAGCCCATTTCCCAAAGTGCTTTCTACATCATTGCTACGTGATCAGTACAGTTGCATCCTTGCTGCTTCTTTAAAGAAAACTTGGGATACAGAGCTGAGACTGTTTCCTTAGTCCAGAGGATCTTTCAGGTGATTTTCAAAGGGATCCATGACTCCAAACAGGAAACGGTGAAAACCGTTGGCTCATCACTGTCTCTTTTTCCTCTGGTTTTGATTCTGAAGCAGAGAAGCTTGGAAAGATGGGCCGCTGAGAGTCTGGAATGCCTTTGTCGGCTTTATTGTGTTTGTTTGTTTGTTTTATTTTGTTTTGTTTTGTTGTGATGGAGTCTCTGTCGCCCAGGCTGCCATGCAGTGGCATGATCTTGGCTCCTGCACCCTTCGCCTCCCGAGTTCACGGGACTGTCCTGCTTCAGTCTCCAGAGCAGCTGGAATTACAGGCACCCACCACCATACCTGGCTATGTTTTGTCTTTTTAGTAGACATGAGGTTTCACCATGTTGGACAGGCTCGTCTCGAACTCCTGACTTCAGGTGATCTGCCCGACTTGGCATCCCAAACTGCCGGGATTACAGGCAAGAGCCACTGCACCAGGCCTAAGTTTTGTATTTTTAGTAGAGACAGAGTTTCGCCATGTTGGCCAGGCTGGTCTCGAACTCCTGATCTAAAGTGATCCACCTGCCTCAGCCTCCCAAAGTGCTGGGATTACAGGCGTGAGCCACTGCACCTAGCTGATCGTGGGGTTTTGAGTGAGTTTTTTAACCTTTAGCTTTCAAAGTGGGAAGCCGAGGATTACACCCCTAGCGAGTGGCTTCTCCCCTCTTAGAAAAAGAGATGGAGGGGAGGGGCCAGTGAAGAGAAAAACAAACACAGGGCTGTTGCCTCTAACACCCAAGAGGGACCAAGGCCTTGAGAGAGAGAGAGAGAAAAAAAGAAAGTAGCATGGGGGTGGGGGACTGTGGGGTCAGCCACGTCTGACTTCAAATCCTGACTCACGGGCACTTCCACCCTTGAGCCTCACTCAGTATGTGCATCTGTAAAATGGGGATAATAAATAATGATCTCTGTATTTTTAGGCCTCTGAGTTGTCCCAGATATAACACATGTGACCTAGATTATACAAAAATTGATGGGGAATTTATATTCAGGGTCCAAAGATATCAAATACAGAGATGAAGGTGGCCTCAGGGACTCTGCCAGGATGCTTTGCTCCTCTCTCCCATGTCCCTCATTCTGTTCTTGGCCAATAATTAGAGAACATATCAGATCAAGGTTAGGGCCTCCATATTCCCAGGGAAGGACACTGATTGGCTCAGCCTGGGTCAGATGACTACATCTGGACCAATCAGCTAAGGACAGGAAATAGGTCTCAGTGGGCAGACATGGTGCTTCCACTGTGGCCACGTGAATGGAAGGGAGAAGTTCTTACAAAAGGAGTGGATGTCAGAGAGGGAAGTGGGCAGGAAAAAAAATATTTGTTTCTGCTACAGCATGGCAGCATTGTAGTAGAGTATAGCACAGGCTGTGAAACCAGACTCCTGGGGTCAAGAGTGTGCTGTAATCCCAACTACTCAAGAGGCTGAGGCAGGAGAATCACTTGAACTAGGGAGGCTGAGGTTGCAGTGAGTGGAGATCACACCACTGCACTCCAGCCTGGGCAACAGAGCAAGAATCCATCTTAAAAAAAAAAAAAAGTGTTAAATTTACAGGAATTTTTCAAGCTGGTCATTAAATATAACTATTATTAAAAACTAAGTATTAGGCTGGGCACAGTGAGCCTGTAATCCCAGCACTTTGGGAGGCCAAGGCCTGCAGATCACCGGAAGTCAGGAGTTCAAAACCAGCCTGGCCAACATGGCAAAAACCCTTCTCTACTAAAAATTAACTGGGCGTGGTGGAGGGGGCACCTGTAATCCCAGCTACGCAGGAGGCTAAGGCACAAGAATCACTTGAACCCAGGAGGCAGAGGTTGCAGTGAGCTGAGATTGCACCACTGCATTCCAGCCTGGACCAGAGCAAGACTCCGTCTCAAAAAAAACCAAACAAACAACAACAAAAAAACCCAGCCAACCAACGAAACAAACAAAAAAACTAAGTTATAAAACTTACAATTAAATAAATTCTATTAAACACAAAGGTTAGAAACACTCAAACTCATCACTTCTTACGCCTTACTCCCATAATCTATATTCTTGGGGTTATTTATGTGTATTGGATTTGTGTAGTGAAAATGCTGTATAATACTGTGCTACTGCAAAGCTCTTCCCAACTCTACATTCAATGATGCCATATTGGTAGCTTGAAATCAGTGATGGAAGTATTTACACCATGGAAATGAGGAAACGGTACACATCATGTCTTCCTCCATCCCCAGAAGGCTGGTTTTGGATCCTAACTCTGCCACTTACTTCCTAGGTGGTCTTTGCAAAATTACTGCATCTCTCAGGGCTCAGTATTCTTAACAGGTTTTATGAGATTAAATGTGCGGCTATCTGAATGACACAGAGTAAGTGTGAGCTATGATGATGAAGAAGATGATGATAACGACTGGATGAGGTGTCCACAGTGGTGTACCGAATCTGTCCCATACCAGTTTATGAGTAACAATTTGGAGAATGTCTCCCCAACACTTTGTTCAGTGATGTCACATTGACACCGTGAAATTGGTCCTGGTCGGGGAATGTACACGACAGAAATTGTCAATCATTATAAACCAAGGATCCGTTAACCCTCCCACTGGAGAGCTGGTTGTTAAACATTTACCAGCACACCATGGGGTACATGGATTTCTCCAGATACATAATAGATATTCAGCAACAAGGCAGCTCATGGTGGCTAAAATACCTGGGAAATCCTCAAAAATGGACAAATCTAAGACAGATATATCCCAAGGACAGAAATCCCTGATTCTCAGGAAGTGCTGCTCGTATGATCCTTACTAATGTGACAGTAATGCCCACGTGACCAGAGAATCTGATCCTCTTTCTCATAGAGCCTGCCAGGCAGCATCACTAAAGCAGGAGACTTCCTTGAAGCCAACTACATGAACCTGCAGAGATCCTACACTGTGGCCATTGCTGCCTATGCCCTGGCCCAGATGGGCAGGCTGAAGGGACCTCTTCTCAACAAATTTCTGACCACAGCCAAAGGTGAGGGATGGCCTGGAGGGGTGAAGGGAGATGCATGGCTGAAGTTTAGGGCAGGAGATACTGAGCTGGGATGCATGGCTTTTAGCTGAGCTGGGATGGATGACCCTAAGCCAAGCTGGGATGGATAGTCCTAAGGTACCAAGCTGGGATGCATAACCCTGAGCTGAGCTGGGATGCGTGGTTCTAAGGTTTAGCAGGTCCTCATTGTAAACCACACAAGAAGGTTTGTTGCATCATTCATTCAACAAATGCGTATTCAGCATTCATTTCAAAGGGAGAAGTGAGAGTTGATGAAACGAGAGAGGCAAGGCAGGAGCGAAATAACTGAGAGCTTTGAACGTCAGCCAGGACACCCAAACACCAGGAAATCTAGCATGCGTCTCTTTCTGAGCTTTCTCTGAGCCATCCCCAGGCTGGACAGAGCAGTGAGCACTGGGGATGGGGTATCCTCTTTGCAGATAAGAACCGCTGGGAGGAGCCTGGTCAGCAGCTCTACAATGTGGAGGCCACATCCTATGCCCTCTTGGCCCTACTGCAGCTAAAAGACTTTGACTTTGTGCCTCCCGTCGTGCGTTGGCTCAATGAACAGAGATACTACGGTGGTGGCTATGGCTCTACCCAGGCAAGTGGCCTACAGCCCCCAGGCACATGCATCCCTGTCTCCTGTGGCTTCCCACCGGCCTCCTAGAGAACACACTGAGGCCCCGCGAGGCAGTTCTTCTTTCCCACGAGCCAGTGTGATTGGAGTGGAATTGAGAATCAGTTTTCTTAGTTGCAAACCCATCTATAGGTTCTAGAATACAGTCTGGATACTCCAAGCTGTGTGTTGAGCCTTCTTCTTACCCCAGGTGTCTAGATCATGTTCTCAGGGCCCAGGTTCAGGTCTAAACCTCTCTCTCCACCTGGTGGGTTCTAGACCAGGTTTCCAGTTCCACTAGGCTCACAATGTTACTCTGTCTCACTGGTGGGCTCTAGACCAGGTTCTCAGTTCTACTATCTCACAATCTTACCCTGTCTTGCTGGTGGGTTCTAGACCATGTTCCCAGGTCTACCAGACTCCCAATGTCATATTGTCCCACTGGTAGGCTCTATACTATGTTCCCAGCTACCCTAGGGTATTATGCAAACCCTGTTCTAGGCCATGGTTTCAGTAACTTCAGGCTTCAGCAACTTCAGGCTCCAGTTGATCTCCTTTCTTTCTGGTGGTCTGTCAATCACGTTCTCAGTGTTACAGTGTCGTTTTTGGGTTGTCGATTATATGCTCAGTATCCTCTGGCCACAGTTTTATTCTCTTTTTCATGAATGGGTTCTAGACATATTCTCAGTGTCTCTAAGTCCTGGCCTGACTCTATCCTCTTGATGGGTCTAGACCACATGCTCAGGGTTGTTAGACCTTCAGTCTCACATCTGGACTTCCTGGTGGATTCTAGACATGTTCTCAGCATCTCTGAGTCCTGGTGTAAGTTTCTGTCCCTTGGAGAGTTCTGAACATGTCCTCAGAGTTCAATAACCTCCGATTATTACTCCTGCACTCGCTAGTAGGTTCTAGGCAACTTTTTGATGTCCCAGCTCTGATTTGAACCTCTTTATCCCCCACTGGATTCTAGCCACTTTCCCAGGCTCCCAGATCACCATCTTTCTCTCTCGTGGGTTCTAGGCCACCTTCATGGTGTTCCAAGCCTTGGCTCAATACCAAAAGGATGTCCCTGACCACAAGGAACTGAACCTGGATGTGTCCCTCCAACTGCCCAGTCGCAGCTCCAAGATCATCCACCGTATCCACTGGGAATCTGCCAGCCTCCTGCGATCAGAAGAGGTACAGTCACCCAGCCAAGCCCTCCTCACTCTTGCTGTCGCCCTCTACACCAGCCAGGATTTACTGGGAAGCAAGAGGGAGGGGAGGTGACCATCACAGTCAGTAGAAGGCTTAATTCCCAACATGCTGTCTTCTCTCTTTTCACTCTGCAGACCAAGGAAAATGAGGGTTTCACAGTCACAGCTGAAGGAAAAGGCCAAGGCACCTTGTCGGTAAGGAACAGAAACCCACACCTGCCTGGCCCACGCCCCTGTGCCCCAGAGGGACCATCTCCTCTTGTCCTCAGTAGTCCTAGTCCTGTGGGATGACATTGTGTCTCCTCTCCCATCTTACCAGGTAGTGACAATGTACCATGCTAAGGCCAAAGGTCAACTCACCTGTAATAAATTCGACCTCAAGGTCACCATAAAACCAGCACCGGAAACAGGTAAAAGGAATCAAGGCCTTATCTGTCACCTTCCTCCTACCCCTCTTCTAATTTCTTCCCCCTTCCTGAATCAACACACAGGTATACCCTCTCCCATCTTTCTCTCTCCTGTGTTTCCAGAAAAGAGGCCTCAGGATGCCAAGAACACTATGATCCTTGAGATCTGTACCAGGTAAGAAGCTAGGTCACCGGGGTTCATCTTGGCCATCCCTCTATCTCTAGCAAGAATTCTTGCAAATAATATCCATGATATTCAGTACTTTCCAAGTACACTGTGTATCTGATACTGTTCTATGTATCCACCATAAGGTAGAGAACACAGACAGTCCTTGCTTTGCGTGTCAATGTGAGACCACAGCAATGACCATATAAGTTGAGACTGTCAAAGCATCTTAGCAGCAATCAATGGAGAAAAGTACACTATCATTCCATGACCTTTAAAGTTCTCTTGTTTTCTTTTGAGAGAGATAGGGTCTTGCTCTGTCAGCCAGGCTGGAGTGCAGTGGCACAATCATAGCTCACTGTAACCTCAAACTCCCTGGCTCAAGCGATCCTCCCGCCTCAGCCACTCAAGTAGCTGGGACTACAGGCGTGTGCCATGACACCTGGCTAATTTTTATTTTTTATTCTTTCTAGAGGTGGGGTCTCACTGTGTTCCCCAGGCTCATCTCGAATTCCTGACCTTGAGCATTCCTCTGCCTTGGCCTCCCAAGGTTTTGGGATTACAGGCATGAGCCACTATGCCCAGCCTAAATGTTTCTATTATAACATTTAAAATTATCATACTGCCAGTTATAAAGATACAGGAAAATGAAAGACATAGTAAGATGAGTATTTGACTACACTGTAATTTAAAACATCAGAACATTGAGATGCAAGGTGTATTTTTTTTTTTTTTGTATGACACTTACAGAGAGTACTTTAGTTCAAAAAATGCTTGCTTTCTTCTCTTTGTATAATTTACAACATGGAGTAAACATCTTTTCTATGCCTTAGTACATTGTCTTGCTCCTTTCTAAGTTTGGACCAGCTTCCAATATTTTATCCTTCGAGCTTTCCATGTCACAAAATTCCTCCAAGAGTTCCCTTAAAGTGACTTTTTATTCTATAACGAACCTTCCTCTGGGACATCTTCATCCTTTTTGTCCCCATGACCTTCCTTATTTATGCTAATACATTTGCCTTCACTGAGTTCCTCTACGCCACCTATCTCTCAAATGGCAGCAGGGTCAACATCCCCATAGTCTGCTATTCTTCGATAACTCCACTTATGCCTTCTTTGAAGTTCACTTCTGGCATTATCACTTTTCATTTCTTTGCTGCATTTTTATCTTTGTTGGCCAGTTCCCTCTTTTGGTGATACATTGTTGTAAAATCTCATGGGAGTTAGCCACCTGGAGACAGGGAGGCAACACAACTACACAGTTTGCTGTCTGTACATAAATTGAAGAGCAGAAGCTCAGTGACCAATCACTGATGGACTTTGAAAGGAGTGACAGTAATTGGCCCTCAATTATGATGCTCATCTTTTATTTACATAGTGATTTCTAGACTGAAGAGTTAGCAACAGAGTTTATACCATATGCAACTACTCATGATCAATATACCAAGGTACTGAAAGTGAACCATGTCACTGGGCTACTAGTGTTATTAAACTGAATCATGCAAAGTGAGGGCCGCCTGTATTCTTGCCTTTGTTTTCTAGAGCTGAAGCATGGAGGGGGTCAAATCATGCATCCAATGTTATTTAGAGCTGGAATTTGAATCCCTGCAGTTGGGTTCAGAGTCTGAGCTCTTAATCAATCGCCTTGACCATTATATTACCTTACTTTTTATTTCCTTTGGGGAAATGTTTCCTAAAAACTGTAACGCCCCTCTGTGCTATTGTGGGGGAATCAGAGGTCTCAGTGCCTGACCAGACCTCCTTGTCTAGGAACAGACCATTGGGGCTGACCCTATCTTGGAACCCAATGCCCTTCTTTCTGCACTATCCAGGTACCGGGGAGACCAGGATGCCACTATGTCTATACTGGACATATCCATGATGACTGGCTTCGTTCCAGACACAGAAGACCTCAAGCAGGTATGAAGGGCTCAGGAGCTGGGATAAGTGGAAAGGAGCCTGGGGTATGGAAGAGGCTGCAGGTAGAGAGGGATCCAGGAGGGATTTTTCACAGGCTCCACCTTTCCCCAGCTGGCAAACGGCGTTGACAGATACATCTCCAAGTATGAGCTGGACAAAGCCTTCTCCGATAGGAACACCCTCATCATCTACCTGGACAAGGTAAGACTGCATCATCTTTCCCTGGGAGGCTTCCAAGGGCACCTTGACCTCTATCTGGCTGGTCTTTTCTTTTCCTTTCAGCTTTTGTCTCTGGGTCACACTAGCCCTAGGCTAGAGGAGACAAGGTCTGTGTTGCTGGGCGACAGGGGAAGGAGCTTGTAAATTGAGGGGGTCAACCCAGCATCTTCTATAAACATGTCATCTTCTGACCATTGACCTCCTGCAGCTTCTTATCAGAGTCTTAACCAATGAAAAAGAGCCCCTTCTGATTTTTTTTTTTTTTTTTTTTTTAGTGCTTTGTAGACAGAAAGGTCTTGCCTTGTTCCCTTGCCCAATCCTGACCTTTGTTTCTTTTTTTGCATCTATTTCTCTCTTCTGTTGTTTTCTTTCTTTCAAGAGACAGGGTCTCACTCTGTCACCCAGGCTGGAGTGCA